CATTTAAATGTTAATCTGAGAACACATTATAGATATACATTATTAATACACATGCACGGAGGTTTTCAGAATAATCTGTTCACGTTTTCATGACAAAAATAATGTTTTAATATATAGGTTCAGTATATACATGATTATGGATATAGGTTCATATATAAATGATTATGGATATAGGTTCAGTATATAAATGATTATGGATATAGGTTCATATATAAATGATTATGGATATAGGTTCAGTATATAAATGATTATGGATATAGGTTCATATATAAATGATTATGGATATAGGTTCAGTATATAAATGATTATGGATATAGGTTCAGTATATAAATGATTATGGATATAGGTTCAGTATATAAATGATTATGGATATAGGTTCAGTATATAAATGATTATGGATATAGGATATAGATTATGGATATAGGTTCATATATAAATGATTATGGATATAGGTTCATATATAAATGATTATGGATATAGGTTCATATATAAAATGATTATGGATATAGGTTCAGTATATAAATGATTATGGATATAGGTTCAGTATATAAATGATTATGGATATAGGTTCATATATAAATGATTATGGATATAGGTTCAGTATATAAATGATTATGGATATAGGTTCATATATAAATGATTATGGATATAGGTTCATATATAAATGATTATGGATATAGGTTCAGTATATAAATGATTATGGATATAGGTTCAGTATATAAATGATTATGGATATAGGTTCATAAATGATTATGGATATAGGTTCATATATAAATGATTATGGATATAGGTTCAGTATATAAATGATTATGGATATAGGTTCATATATAAATGATTATGGATATAGGTTCATATATAAATGATTATGGATATAGGTTCATATATAAATGATTATGGATATAGGTTCATATATAAATGATTATGGATATAGGTTCAGTATATAAATGATTATGGATATAGGTTCATATATAAATGATTATGGATATAGGCTCAGTATATAAATGATTATGGATATAGGTTCATATAGGTTGAACCTATATCCAAAGGAGGTTGCTCCTGCTGTTGGTAGTGGACAGGTTGAAGCGGCATACGTGACTTCCCACTTAGACTCTTCAGTGGGCCTTAATAAATTCATGGCTGTGAGCCAAGCAGAGGTGATCTCTGTGGTCACATCCTCAAAAGCCTCAACTTGCATGTTAGACGCAGTCCCGACATGGCTCTTCAAAGACATACTTCCTTTGATAATTGAGCCTATCGTAAATATAATAAACGCATCCATACAATGTGGCTATGTCCCACAAGCTTTTAAAACCGCGGTAATCAAACCCCTTCTGAAGAAAACAAACCTGGACCCAGAAATACTTACAAACTACAGACCGATCTCAAACCTCACTTTTATATCTAAAATCCTGGAAAAACTTATAGCTGAGCAGCTCCGCTGCCACCTGCAGGAAAATGATATGTTTGAAGTCTTTCAATCAGGATTCAGAGCTCATCATAGCACTGAAACGGCACTAGTCAAAGTCACAAATGACTTACTACTAGCTGCCGATAATGGACAAGTGTCAGTGCTGGTCCTACTGGACCTTAGTGCTGCATTTGACACAATAGACCACAGCATTCTACTGCAGAGGCTAGAATGTGATATAGGTCTTAGAGGAACAGCCCTTGGCTGGTTTAAATCCTATTTATCAGATCGATATCACTTCGTCAATGTGAATCAGGACTCGTTGCCTTATTCTGGACTGGAATTCGGTGTGCCGCAGGGTTCGGTACTCGGACCGATTCTTTTTACTCTCTACATGCTGCCATTGGGAAACATTATTAAAAAGCATGGAATTAATTTCCACTGCTGCAGATGACACCCAGCTTTATCTGTCGATGAAGCCTAACCAGACAGATCAGCTAGAAAAGCTCAGTGCCTGCATAAAGGACCTTAAAATGTGGATGACTCTTAACTTCCTACTTCTCAACCCGGAGAAGACAGAAGTGATCCTACTCGGTCCGAAGCGCCTGCGTGACTCCCTCACTAACCAGATGGTTACTCTCGATAATGTCAGTATAATACCCAGTAACACTGTGAGGAATCTTGGAGTCATTTTTGACCAAGAACTCTCCTTCAAGGCTTATATAAGCCAAGCAACTAAAACGGCGTACTTCCACTTACGGAACATCGCTAAAATTAGGAATTTCCTTCCTAAAAGTGACGCGGAAAAACTCATTCACGCGTTTGTCACCTCAAGGCTCGACTACTGTAACGCTTTACTGGCAGCGTGCCCTAAAGCCTCTTTGAAGAGCTTCCAGCTCGTTCAGAATACAGCAGCTAGGATCTTAACAGGTACCAAAAGGAGGGAGCACATAACTCCGGTGTTAAAATCACTCCACTGGCTCCCTGTGGAGTACAGAATAAAGTTTAAAATCCTACTCTTAACATATAAAGCCATAAATGGCTTGGCTCCTTCTTATCTCCAAGACACGTTAGTGTCGTATCAACCAGGTCGAGCGTTGCGCTCACAAAACGCCAGACGTCTGGTGGTCCCTAAGGTCTCAAGGGTCACTGTTGGTGGCAGAGCATTTAGCTCCAAGCTCCTTTACTGTGGAATCAGCTTCATTTATGTTAAGGAAGCAGATACGGTCTCCACATTCAAGGCCAGGCTTAAAGCACTTTACTTTAATTTAGCATATATTAGGTAATTATGTTATATATTAATATGTAGTGTGTTATGTTGTATATATGTTATATATTATGCTGTATTTATTCTTATTCAAGGCTATTTTAAAACAGTGTTTTATATATTATTCTAGGAAGGTAAGACTCGGATAAGGTTAAACTCCTCAGAGTGTGTTATGTAGGGTCAGTTTGCTGGGAGAAGTATGGTAACTTGAGCACTATCCTCTCCTCCTTCCTACTTTATCTGTTTAGCATTTTTAGGATTCTGACTGTAGTTTGTTCATTGCTATTCACCCCGTTGTCCCATTGTCTGTTTCATGGTACGATGACGGATCTCTGAGCCTGGCCTCTTCCATCTACACCTGCGGACTGCCCCGCCCGACCCGCCTGGGAGTGCTTCAGTCCTGCACCGGACCTGTCCACGTTCAGCGTCCACTGGTCCACGTTCTGTAGCTAGCTTAGGTCCTGGATCATTAGTCTGTCCGTCCGGAGGAGCGGATCCCTTTCTCATATGGGTCTCCCTCCCTGTGGGTTTCCCTAGTTCTCCTCCAAGGTTTCTCACTTTTTCCCACTGGGTTTTTTAAGAGTTTTTCCTTGTCGATGCAGGAGGGTCTTGTTGGACAGTTAGTGTCCAACAGAAAGGATTGGTGATGATCAGGACACTTTAGCATTCTACAACATGTATGGACATTTTCTTCTGTGTGTGCTTTATACTGTATTCTTCATGTGTTTTAACTGTTGATTCTCTGACCTGTGTTGGTGATTTCAATGGTTTTGTTAAGTCCTCTGAGATGACTTCTGTTGTGACCTAGGGCTATACAAGAATAAATTGTATTGTATTGTATTGTAAACTGCTGTTGAGGGGCAGATATAAATAATGAATAATGACATGTGAAGCATCTTTGAGGGTCCAAAAAAGCACTTGAATGCATCATTTAAACCAATGCATTATTAGTAGTAGTACTAGTAGTTTTTGCATTAAGGATAGTTGAATCTGGATGCAGTCTCAGTTGCTGCACGGTTAAATAAAACACCATTTTGCTTTAGTGAGGACACCGTGTCCCGCTGTAGAGCGCCGCCGCACACAGCACTGATGACTCATGATGAAGAGGAGCTGCGGTCGCTTCACACTATCAGCTTCATCAAGTCACATCCTGGTTCAGTCCCACACTCTGCAGCCGCCGCCAGCTCACCGCCTTACTGTGCAGTGGTGTGGGCGACAACGGTTACACTTGACAATATATTCAAATTCAATTTATTTTTGTATAGCGCTAAATCACAGCAGTCGTTATCTCAGAGGACTTTACAAAACCGTCCATTCGCCCGATATATTACTTTTTAAACACTGGTCAATGTAGTTAAGGGACGGTTTAAGGAAAGTGCTTTGTGGATAGGGTTGTTTTATTGTGGGGGATATGGTTATGATGATGGGTGTGAGATATATTAATAGAGAAATAGGGGGTGAATATGGGTTTGGTAGAGAGAGAAATGTAGGGGGGGGGGGGAAGTAAGAGTATAGGATGATAAGAAGGGAGGTAAGGATTGTAGTGGGAGAAGATTTAGTTGGAGAGGGGTATGTTAGAGGAGGTGAATAAGGGTATGTAGATAATAAGAAATTGTTAGATGAGAAAAGGAAGATGTTAATAAGGGAAAGGGAAAGGTTGGGGGTGGGTGTGGGTGGATGGGGTGGGGTTGAATTAGAACGTATGGGGTTGGGTAATTTATAGGAAGATGGGTTAAGGTGAGAGTTTAAGGGTGGAGGATTAAGGGAGTTGTGATTATTTTTGGGTATATTTTGTAGATATGTGGTTGTTTTGGGGGTATGAAAGTGGTGTAGGGGGGGTGGGGTTGTATGGGTTGTTTGTTGGGTTATTAGATATGAATGATGTGATTTGTTATGTTTACGGTTGAAGGACTATGGTTATGTTAGTATTTTTTTGGTTGTTTATGTTGATTTGGATGTAGCTATTTTTTTTGGAAGGTGTCTATGTTAAGTGTTTTTTTTTTTGGGTGGTGGTGGTAGAGTGATGTTGGTTGAGTAATGATTGTTGATTTGTTTGTTTGGGGGGTGGGGTTGGTTTTTATATTGTGATTATGGAATGGGAAGGATGGAATAGGGGAGGGGGGGTTAGGATTTGAGGGGGGGGTAGTGGTGGAGGGAAGATTTTGATGAGTATTTTAAGTAAGGGGGGGAATTGGGTATGGAGAAAGTAATAGGGGGCTGTGGTGGTGTTTGTGGTATTTGAATGAAAAGGGTGTGAGAAAGAATAAAATTGATGATTGGTGGTATTGTTGTATTAGGGAGGGGAAGATTTTTTGGGATGAGATAATGAGGGGTTGGGGGGGTGGAGAGGTGGGGGGGGGTTTTGGTGATGATTATGTGTGGGGGGGAGGGGTAAGGTGATATGGTGAGTAAATTGTTGGATTTGGGGGGGAGTGGTGTGATGAGATGGGGGATGATAGGGGTGGTATGATGGGAATTGGAGGTGAGTTGGGGGGAGGAGAGGTAGTTAATGAGTGGGGAGTGGAGGGGTGGGTGGGGGGTATGAGGGATTTTTGTTTTAGGGGAGGTGAGGGTGAATGGGGAGGGAATGGGGGGTTTAGGGTTTTGGTTAATATAGGTAGGTATGTAGTGAGTGTGTGGGTATTTTGTGGTTTTGTTTTGTTGATTGTGATGGTTGGATGGTAGGTTGTGTGAATTGATATGTATAGTAATTGATTGTTTTGGTGGATAGGGTGTATGTAAATGATAGATTTTGGGGGTATGATAATTATGAATTGGAAAGATTGATGAGGGTTGTATTGAGGGTAAGTTGAGTGTAGAGTGGTTATTGAGGAATGGGAAGGTATTGAATGTATGATGATTTATGTGCTGGGAGTTAAATTAAGGTTTGGATATTAAATAGATAGGATTTATAGGAGTGATTTTAAGTTTTGGAGATAATTTTTTGGGAGATAGGTGATGGAGGATGGGAAATGGAAGGATGAGTTTTTTGAAGGTGTGTTTGAGAGGGGGAAAAGGGATTGAGATGGGGATTTTGTGGGGTATAGAGGTTTATGAGGGAGGTTTTGGTATGAGTTTTGATATAGGGTGGTTTATATGTTATGGTTTTTGTGGGGGATGGGGGAGAGAATATGGGAAGGTAATGTGGATATTTTGGTGTGTTTTATTGTATAAGTATGGGTTGTGGAAATAGTTTTTGTGATGGGGATAATAATGGGGGTAGTGTGGGTGAGGGTGGAAGATATGAATGGGGGAGAGGGTGGATTTGGGTAAGGGTAGGGGGTAGGAGGGGTAGAGGAGGAGAGAGAAAGGGGGGGTGATTTGATGAAATTGGATAAATAATTTTAAAAATTTATTGGTGGTGGTTTTGGGGAAGATTGGGGTATGGTTGGTATGGTGGGTAATAGTAGTAGGATGTGTTTTGAGGGGGGAGGTGGATGTTATTTGTGATTGGGAGGGTTTATTGGGGTTGGTGTTGAGAGGTGGGGTTTAGTGGGATGGTTATTAGGGAGGTGGGGGGGGTGGGGGAGGGTGGGGGGTATTGGGTGGGGATTGATGGAAATGTAATATAAAATTAAATTGAAAAAAGGAGGGGATTTGGGGATGGGGGGAGGTTGTTGGGGAGGGTTTATGGTGGGTGGGGGAAAATTATGGGGAGGGGTATGTAGTTGGGTTGGTTGTTGATAGAGTGAGATGAGGGGGGAATAGTGATTTTAGAGGAGTGGATTAGTATAGGTGATGGAAGGAGATGAGGTTGTTAGGGGGGGGTGGGAGGATGAAGGAATGAAGGGGAGTATTGAGGTTGGAATGATGGTTGAGGTGGGGGGAGTGGAGTGGAAGGGGGATTGTGGGAAGGTGGTATTAAGGGTGGAGAATGAGGGGAGGATGAGGGAGAGGTATGTTAGGAGTGGAAGTTTTTTATTGATTAGAGAATATTATGTTTAGATTTGGTGTGGGGTTGGAAAATTTTTTTATTGGATTGAGTGAGGTTTGGAAGGAGAAGAAGTGATTTGAGTAGGGGGGATAAATTTAGAAATTAATGAGTGTGGTATGAGAGAGGGGGGTTATGATGAAGGATATAGAAAGAAGAGAAGGTGGTGGTGTAGTTATATAATATAGGTTTGATGATGATTTGGGGGGGGGTGGGGTAAGTATGTGGGAGTGATATGTAGGAAGTAGAGGAGGATTTTATAGAAGTAGATGATTAGAGGATAGAGAAATGGGAAAGTTTAGGTGAGTGGGGTTTGTGGTGGGTGGTTTGAGTGATATTGGTGGTTTGGTAGGGGGGGTGATGGTGAGAGTAGGATGAGATTTTGTTTTTAATGAAAGTATTGGAGGGTGTGTTGTTGGTGGATTTGTTTGTTTGTAGGGGTATGTAGGTGGGGGGGGGATTGGGGGAGGGGAGAATGTATTTTTGTGTTGTTGTATGAGGGGGTTTGTGATGGGTATTGTTAGATGTTAATGATATTTGGATTGTTAAGTTAATTTGTAGTTTGTATTAAAGATTTTGGTTTGTGTTTGAGTTTGGAGGGTTGTTTAAGGTTTGGGGAGTTGTTTAGTGAATTAGTTAGGGTTGAGTTATGGAAGAATGGGGATTTGATTTGAAGGTGATTTTATGATGTGAGGGTTTTTTTATGAGGGGTTGAGTTTATGTGAAGGGGGTTTTGGTTATTTTAGGTTGGAGGATGTGAGAATGTGGGTATGATGGGGTGAGGGTTGGGTGAGTGGAGGGGAGGGGGGGTGGTGGATTGGGTGGGGTTGAGGGGGAAGATGGGGTGTGTTATGAAAGGTTTTTGTATATATGTTTAGGAGTTGAGGGAGAGGGTGTGGGGGTATGGTTTGAGGTTGATGTGAGTTGAGGGGTTGAGGTTGGGGTAAGTGGAGGTTGGGGGGGGGGGGTGTGGGGGAGGGTATGTTTGGGTATGATAAAGATGTGATGGGATTATTGTTGGTGATATGATAGATGTTTGTTTGGAGATGTTTTTGGGAAGTGTAAGGTGGGATAGGTATTAGGTGGGGGAGTGGGGAGGGGGGTGGTGTATGATGGGGGTTGAATGTTAGGGTTGGTATGTAAGTAGGGGGTTTATTGTGGGGGGTGGGTGGTGGTATGTATGGGAGGGGAGGGTGGGTGTGAAAGGGAGGGTATGGTGGAGTGGGGGGTGTATAGTAGGAGGGATGTGTGGTGATTGAGATTGGGTTTGGGTTATGGGATATGGTGAAGGGGAAATAGGAGGTGGTAGGTGATTGGGGGAAGGGAATGGGGGAAAGTGGAGGGATGGGGGTGAGAGTGGGTGAAATAAGTGGGGGGGGGGTGGGGGGTTTGTTGGGGGTGAATTGGGTGAAGTGGGGAGTTTGGGTTGGTGTATAGGTATGAGGAGGGATGTGTTGGTTGTTGAGTTTTGGTGAGGGTTGTTTGTTGAAATAAGTTTTGGGGGGGGGTATTGTGGGTGGTGGGGGGTTAGGTATGATGAGTTATAAGTTTGTAAAGATTTATGTATGTAAAATTATAGGTGTGAGTTGACGATAGATTGGGAAAATGATAATTGGGGTGTTTGTTGTTGGGAGTGGGGAGTTTAAGATTTTAGATTTATGGTTGAGGGTTTGTAGGTTTAGTTAGGGGGGATGGGGAGCTTGGGGTGTATGTTAGGTGGGATGGGGGGATTTTGTATTTTTATGGTGGGTTGGGGGATGTGAGTGTGAGGGGGAGTTTAGTGGGTGTGGGTTGATGGGTGATGTGGGGGTTTGTATGTGGGTGTGTGGAGGAGTGTAGGGGGGGTTTTAGAGTTTTAGGGGTGGTGGGGGGTGAGTGTGTTATTTGGGATGGGTTAGGTGGTAGGAGGGGGTATAGAGGGGGGGGGGTTAGGATGGGAGGATGAAAAGGGGACTGTATTTTGTATTTCAAGGGGTTGGTTTTTTGTGTATAGAGGAAAGAGGTGATTAGAATTTTTATGTGTGGTGGGAGATGAGTAAAATATGAGGGTCTGTTTTTGGGATGGGGAATTGATGTGGAGGGTTGTTTGGGTGGGTAGGTTTGTTGTATGTATTTTTATATATATATTGATTTGGGGGTTTAATGTTTTGTGATTGGGTTATTTTTCATGGTGTTGTTGTTGGTTTTTAGAAAAAGTTTTGGAGAGATTGTTATGTGAGTATTTGTGTATGGTAAGATGGGGATGTGGTTATGAAGATTTAGTGATTTTTTTGTTAAATATGTATGAGGTGTAATATATTATATGAAGATGGTTGTTATGTATAGTTGTGAGATTATGGGGAGAATGGTTGATAGTGATTAGATTGGGGGGGGAGAGAGATATGAGGTTGAGGGGAGGAGAAGTGGGGATGTTGGGTGTTTTTAGTGGGGGGTTGAATGGGATAAGTGGATGTTTTCAGGGGGGGTGTGGTGTTTTGATTTTTTTGTGGTGTATGTGTTAATTTACTGATGTGATTTAGTGGTGTTTTTTATATTTGTTAATTTATGTTGTGTGTTCTTTGTATGTTGATTTTTAGTGTAGGTAGATTTTGGGGAAAGGTTGATGAGATGTTTTTTGGTGATGTGAGTTGGATAGACGTAATTAATTTGTGAGAGGTTGAAGAGTATAGGAGGTACAATGAGGATGTGTGGATGGGGATGGTTTTGAAGAGGAATATTTGTTTGGGGGGTGGGGTAGGAGGAGGGAGGTGGGGGGGGATTGTATGTTAATAATGGGAAGAAGTAGGGGGGGTGGGGTATTGGTTTATTGTCTTGATAGGTGAGGGAGATGGGGTTTTGGGTTGGTTGGATGGTTTTAGTTTGGGTTGGGTATGATGGTGGGTGGATAAGTGTTTGTGGAGGAATGGGGGGGGGTTGGGGGAATTTTGAATTGTGGGGGTGTTGTTTTTTTTGAGGTTGTTTAGGGTTTTGGGGTGGTGGGAGTAATTTTTTTATAGGTTAATAAGTGGTGTTATATTTGTTTGCTGGAATGTTGGATGGGATGGTGGGGGAATATGAAATTGGATGAAGGGGAGAATAGGTATATTGATTAAGTAGATGGATATATTTGGAAGGTTTGGTGTGAGGGTTAGAGTTTGGTGGGTATTTGGGGTTGTTGGTGGTTTGGGGTAGTAAGAAGGTTTTGGGGTGTGTTTTTTGTATGTGGTGTTGGATTTGTTGTAGGGTTTGTATAAGAGGAAAGAGATTTGATTTTGATATTAGAATAGTGGAAGGAATAGTGTGTGTTAATAGATGGGAGGAGATGTGAGGATTTATTGAGGAAGATATTGAGAAGTTAGGTTGATGAGTGATTGATATGGGGGGGGGGGGTTTAGTGAATAAGTTTATTAGAAGGTGGAGATGGTTAGTATGGTGTTAGTTAATTGTGGAGGTTATGAGGTAGGGGGGGTAAATGGGTTTGTAGGTTAATGTGAATGTTGAGTGAAGAGGATGTGGGGAAGGGTTGGGGGGATTGTTGGTGTTGTGATTAGGAAGGGGGGTAAGGTGAAATTATGGGGATGGTTTGTTTTTATGGTGTTGGGATGGTTTATTAGGGTTATGTGATGGTTTTAAGATGGGATTGGGGGGTATTGTTGGGTATGTTGGGGGGAGAAGTGGTATGGGTTTGGGGTGGAGGGGTGGGGGTAGGTTTGGGTGGATGTTAATTGATTTGTTGGGGTGGGTGAGGGGGGGAGGGGGATTGAGGGGGTGAGAGAGAGGGGGAGTTATTTAGAAGGTATTGATAGGGTTTGAGAATAGGGGTATGGAGTGGGGAATATTAGGTAAAGAATATGTTTTTGTGATGGGTAAGTTTGATGGGTTGTTGGTAGGGGGGAGGTTGATGTGTGGGGATGTGAAAGAGGTGTAGGTAGAGAAGAGAGGTAAGGTGAAGGAATAAATATTTTAGATAAGAAGTAGGAAAAAAGAAAAGGTAAGGTATATGATTTTTGTGTTGTATATGTTGGGGGGGGGTGAAGTGAAGTTGGGATAGATGGTGAAAGTGGAGGGGTGATGGGTTTTTTTTGTGTTAAGAGGAAGTGTGTATGTGTTGTAGTGGGTGGGTGATTTAAACAGTGGTATGGTGGGAGGAGAATAGGTTGTGATGTAGGAGGGGTTTTTAATGGGGGGGGGTGTTTAATTGAAGGTTATTGTTTTTGATGGTTGTGTTTTGGTGGATATGGGTTTGATTATTAATTGTTAAGGGTACGGGATTAGGTGTATGTTATTGGGGGTATTTTTTTTGTGTGTTTGGAGTGTTAGTGGGTATTGGTTGGATGTTGGGGGTTTGGTTTATGGGGGATAGGGGATGTGTGTTAGGTTTAGTTATGGATTGTATGTAGGGGGTGTTATGTAGAGAGATTTGGAGTATTTAGTGATTGTATTTTGGGGTTGGTTGGGAGGGGGTTTAGTTTATTGTGTGGTAAAGGGGATTTTTTTGGGGTTTGGATGGTTGGAGTGGGGGGTTGGGGATAAGGAGAGGGATGGGTGATTTTAGGTAGTGGATTTGGTTTGGGGGTGTAGTGTGAGGGGAGTAAGATTGGTGGGGAATTTAATGGGAGGGAGTCTAGAATATTTTTGGATAGGTTATGGAGTGAAGTATTGTAAGTGGTATATGAGAGGAAAGGATGGTTTGTGGAGTGGGTTTAGGGGGTATTGTTGTGAATGGTTTTGGTAAGTTTTAGTATTTGGTAAGTTTGATATGGTATGTTGATTGATTGTGGTGTATGGATTGTTTTTGTAATGTGGTTTTTTGGGTTGGTGTGTAATGGGTTGGGGGTTTGGTGATATTTTGTTGTTGTTGATTGGTTTGTAATAGGGGTATATGTTGTTAATTAGGTTTGATAGAAATGGGGGGGAGGTAAAGGGTAAGTATTGGGAGAATGTTGAAGTGGGTGGGAAGGGGATAGATGAGAGAGATATTATTATTAGGGGGTGTGGTGTTTATGGTTGTGGGTGGTGGGTTTTTGGGATTATTTGATGTGGTGGGTGAAGGGTTGGGATGTGGTTATGGTGGTGGTTGGGTTGGTGGTGGGTTTTTGGGGGGAGTGGGATGAGGGTGAGGTGTGTGGGTTGGGGATAATAGGGAAATAGTTTATATGGTGGATTGTTATATGGGGTTGTTGATATGGTTGTGGTATGTTATGAGGGGATGGTTGTGATTGGATTGTGGATTGGAGGTGGGGTGGATTGGAGTTGGGTTGTTGTTGGGTTTTTTGGGATTTGTAGTTAGATTTAATGATGAGGGGTTTTGTTGTGGTGGGGGGGATAATTGTGATTTATGGATGGGGGGGAAGTGGGAGTTTGTTTGGGGATTATTGATGTGTGTGATGAGATGTTAAGGTTTGAATTAGATGGGAGTGATTTAGAGTTAGATTGGGAGAGGGAATGGTATGTTGGGTTGGGAATAGGGGGGGGATGGGGAGTGGGGGGAATGGGGGATATTGTTGTGGATAAGGATTAGGGGGTGGGGGTTTTGGGGGGGGTTTAGGGATGGGATGAGGGTATAGATAGGGTGAGGGATGGGGTGGGATGTTTATGTGGAGAGTAGGATTTTGGGAATGGTGGTTGTAAAATTGTTGGATGGATGGGTTTGTGTTTTTGGTATTGGAGATGGGTGGGTAATATGGGGGGTTGGGTTTGGGGTATGGAATGGGGTTGGGGTTGGGTATGGAATGGGGATTATGGGGAGTGTTATGATTGGTGATGGGGTATGGTGGGTTGTGGAGATTATGTTTTTGGTTGGGAATTTATTGTGATGGAGGTTGGGTGTTGGTTTGAGGTTGATGGGGGATTATTGTATGTTGGTGTTTATGGTAGTTAGGAAGTGGGGATGAATTGGGGGGTTAAGTGATATGAGGTATTGGTGGTTTGGGGAGAGTGTAAATATTAGTTGGGTTTGGATAAGTGGGATGGGATGGTTGGGTGGGGTGGAGAAGGAGGTGGGAGGGTGATGAGTTGGATAATGAGAGGAGTTTTAAGAAGTGGGGGTGTGGGTTTTGTTTGAGAAAGTTGTTGTTATAATGTTGTTGGAAAGGTGGATGAGGATTTTGGAGATGGTTATGGGAGGGTTATGGGGGTGGATATAAGGGTGAATGGGGTGTGGTTTTGGGTGGGTATGTTGGGGTTATTTTTGTGTGTGTTTATTGTGTGTTTTTTAGTAAATTGAAAATAAAAAGGAAAAAAGGAGGATGGGAGTGAATTATGGGAAGGTTATTTATTGATTACTGGTTGTTTGGGTTGAGGTGTTATATGGTGTTTATGGTGGGTATATAATGATAGGTGGGGATTTTGGATATGTTATAGTGGTATTGTAATTATTGGGGGTTTTATGTTTTTTGAGTTATAGGGTTTAAAGTGTGAGTGTTTTATTTGTTTGGTAATTTATTGGAATAGTATGATGGTGTTAGGTTTTTGGAGATTGGGTATTGTTGATTTAGGGGTATATAAGAGTGTTTATGTTTGATTGGTTATGTTTTAAGGTTGGTGTAAAGTGAATTTGATGGATGGATTAGGTGGAGAAGTTTTTTATATATAATGTGATTATCATGCTATGTAGTGATGTGAGAAGTGGTTGTATGAGATTGAATTATATTGTTTGGGTTTTGGGTAATGAAGGGGTGGGTGGTGATTTTGAGTTGTGTTGGGTTTAGTAGGTAAGTTGTGGTTGGATTGTATTTTTTGGTATGTGTGTGTGATAATGGTTGGAATGTAGGATTGGTTGTATTGGATTTTTTGGTGGGTTTTTTGGGTGTGGGATATGTAGTTATAAGGTTGGTTGAGGGGGTGTAGAGTAAGGGTATGTGGAGATTTGATGATTTGTGGGTTTTAAAAAGAATGTTGTGGGGGGGATAGGTTTTTGGGTTTTTGGGGGTGTATTTGAGGGTGTGGTTAAAGATTAAATGGGTTTTGGGGTGAGATGTGGGTGGGAAGTTTTATAAGTTGTGTTTGGGATTTGTTATTTTGAGGAAGTATTGTTAGGGGATGATAGTAGGATTAGTCTGTATTTTTGTATTTGATTATTTTATTTATGGGTTTTAGGAGTTTGTTTTGGTTGGGTGTGGTTTGTGGTTTAGTAATAAAGAAGTGTGGTTTGGGGGGGGGGTGGGTGTGATTTGGTTTTTTTATGGTAATTTTAATTGGGAATTTGGTTGAGGGAGGTTTATTAGGTTGTGAGGATATGGTTGGGTGGATGGGAGAATTATGTGCGATGGTGGGGGGGTTAGAGTGAATTAGATTGGTGAAATTTTTTATGAAGTGGATTAGATAGAAGAATTTGGAGGTGGATGAGAGGTGGAGATGGAGGGGGTAATAGATGGGGGGGTTGGGGGTGGATAATAGTGGGAGAATGAGGGTTTGAGTGTTATGTGTTGTTTTTGTAAATTATATATTTTATTTGGGGTTTTGATTGGTTTATATGGTGGTTATTGTGGTAAGATTGTAGGATAAGTGGTGTATGTATGTGAGATATGGGGGTATTGTATAATAGTAGTAGAGGAGGATATGGTGGTAGGTAGATTGGTGGGTAGGGGTGAGTATTGAGATGGATGTGGGGGGATATGAGTAGGGGGGTTTGTATTTGATTAGGGAGGATGTGATTTATTATAGGAGGGTATATAGTTGAGGGAGTGTGGTTAGAGTTAGGTTTTGGGATGAAGGTGGTTTTATGGGGGGGGGGGTTGTTTGAAGGATTTGAGGTGGGAAATAAGGGGGAGGGGGGGGGTGGGGGTATGTATTGTTTTTGATGTTTTGTGAGGGTTGTGATGAAAGAGGTGGGAATTTTTTGGAGGTTATGAGGGTGGGGAGATGAGAAAGAAGATAGGGGTTGGGAGGGAGGAAGAGGAAATGGGTATATTTTGTTAAGGTTTTGGGGGGGTGTGGGGTGGGAAAAGGGTGGGGATGATTGGTTTGGGTAATTTTTTTGGTGGGGTTTATATGAATATGAATGGTTTGGGGGGAGTGGGATTGAAATTAGTTTTAATTGGGTAGTGGGGATTATAATGTGGATTGATGTTTTATATTATTAGGGATGGTTAATGGTTGAATGGGGGATGAGTTAGTAGGGTGTTTTTGTGTTGTTTTTTATTTGTAATATGGGGGCGGTTAGGGGTTAATATGATATAGGGATGGTGTTGTAGGGTGTTAAATGTAATATAGGGATGGTGTTGTAATGTTAGAGGTATGGGGGGGGGATGGGGTGGGTTGAATAGAGAATGGGAGAGATTTAGATTATGAGGGTGAGGGGTATGTGTGGGTGAGGAGAATATTGGGAGGGTTGGGTATTGGAGTGGAGGGGTGGTAGGGTAGTGGAGGGTTTTATGTTGATGAGGGGATTTAATAGGGTAGAGGGGTGAGGATGGATAGTGAATGGGTAGAGGAGTTAGGGAGAGGATAGTAGTGGGAAGGGTTGTGAATGGAAGTGGGAAGTGTGAGTAGAAGAGTTAAATAATATAGTGGGTATAGGATAGAGGGGGATAATGAGTGAGATTTAGTAAGATTAGATTTAGGAAGTAATGGGGTGAAGTTGAATGAAAGGGGGGTTTAAAATTGGGAAATTTGGGATGGAGGGATTGGGAGAAGATGAGGTTAGGTAGAAGTGAAGATTTGGATTTGGTAGGGTAGATTGGAGATGTATTTTTTTGAAAAGGTATGGTGGGAAGAGATTTTGTTATTTGTGAGGGGGTTTTTGGAAGGTTTTATTAGGTGGGAGTATTATTGATTATTTGAAATGAGTAAAATAGGGGTAGGATAATAAGGGATAGGATTGAGGGGAGGAGTTGGTGGAGGGGAGGGTGTTGGTGGGTTGTATAGGAGGTGGGTTTAGTAGGGATTTGTAATATGTTTATAATTTTGTTGTTGTGGGAAAGATTTTAAGTGGATTGATGTTGATGTTGTTTGGTTAATTTTTTTTTATTGATGTGATGTGTTGGGGGTGGAGGTTGGTGTTAGAATAATAGGTGGAAGTTGATTGTATATGAAGTATATAGTAATGAGTAGAGTTTATTGTTAGTGTATATGTTGTAACTGGAGTGTTGGTGGATAGTATGTGGGGAAGTGGATATGTGTGTGGAGTTGATTTGTGGTGGGTTTGTTAGTGTGTAGGGTGGGATTAGTGGGGTTGGTTTGGGTAAGGGGGAGTTATGGTGTTGGTGTGTGTTTGGTGAAAGTATGATGGGGTAGGAAAGATTTTGAGAGGTAATATTTATGATGTGGGTGGGGTGGTGTGGGGGGATGGTTTTTTGTTGGGGTTGAGTCGTGTGAGGTTTTGGGATTTATTTAAAATTGTTTTTTTTACGATTTGTGTTGATTTAATTTTTTAATTGGGGTTTTTTTATGGATGTTGTAGAATGTTTTGATTTTGTTGTTTAAGGATTTATATTTTTAGATGTTGGATGGTGTGATGGGTGTGTTGTTGTAGTTTATGCTTAATATTTATTTTACTAATGGGTGTGTTGTAGTTTTTTGAGGTTATTAGAAATTTTGTTATGGGTGAGGATGTGTGTGAGGCTGCGGGGTGTTGTAAGTAGTTTGATTGCTTGATTGTTGTGTTGCTTAGATATTTGTGTTATGTTGCTGATGTTGTGTTTTGTGTTCTGATTTGTGTTGAGGTTTGCTGATGGTTTGTGTTGTGTGTATGCTGATGTTGTGTTGCAGTTTCTGATCTGTGTGTTGTGTGTTGCTGATTGGTTGTGGCAAGGTTGCTGTTGTTGTGTTGTTTGGTTGCTGATTGTGTGTTAGGTTTGCAGGTTGCCTGATTTTTGTGTTGTGTGTTGCAGTTGCTGTTGTGTTGTTTGTGTGTTGCTATGTTTGTGTTGTGTTGTTGCTGATTGTGTTCAGTTCTGATAGGTTGGTTTTGTGGTTCTGAGGTTGTGTTGTTGTTGCATGGTTGCATGATGTTGTTTGTGTGCTTGCAGGTTGCTGATTGTTGTGTTGTGTGTTGCTTGTTATGTGTGTGTGTGTTCAGTTGCATGATTGTGTTTTGTGTGTGCTGTTAGTGATGTTGTGTTGGCATGTGTGTGTGTTTGTGTTGCTGTGGTGTTTGTTGTTGCTGGTGGCTGTGGTGTGTGTTGTGTTCTGTTTGGGGTTTGGTTGCTGTTGTGTGTGTTTGTGTTGGCGTTTGGGGGTGGTGGGTGCTGTTTTGTGTGTGGTGGCTGGGTGAGGTTGTTGTTTGGTGCCGCGGGGTGGAAAAATATGAGGCGTATGTTTCTACATAACGTGTTGTATTCAATGTGGTAGGGACCGATGATAGGGAACCGCATGGCAGCAGTAGAGTCGTACGTACACTGTACATCTATGACATTCTTTAGTGTAGTTTGTTTTCGTTTTTGCTAGAGAGTATAGTTACTTTTTTCGAGTATTCACGCTTGATGTGATTTGTGTGTTATATTTTGTTTTTTGCTGACATCTTATAGCGATTGTGGTTTTTTATATAAAACTTTTTTATGTAAATCACGTGGTCTATTGTGTAGTTATAGTTTGTTTTGTGGTTAGGTTACTGACTTTTGCCCTTATGCGCGATGAGGGAGAGACAAGAATTGTTATTCCAGATATGTTTTTTTATTTCAGGGTTTTACTTTATTACTTATTGAGGCTTGTCACATTGTGTGAGATTGTTTGATTAAGGGTTAATTTTTATAGTTGTAGAGTGGTATTTAATATGGTAGTCTTGTGACTTTTAATAGAGTGGGCGGAGTGTTGCGAGTGTGTTGGGGAATATTTGTGGAATGGATTATCTACTATATTATTTGACATTTTTAATTTGTCGGTTATGTTGATGAATGTTATAAAGAGATGTTTTTTCTTCTACAATAATACGTTGTTTTATGTCATATTCTACTAAGGTTTATACTATATCGAATTGTTAAATTTGTTTGGGGTATTTTAATGTGGGGTTTAGTGGGTGATGTTATTGGGTTATTTAAGTATGATATTTGTGGGTCATATTTTTTGGTTTAGACTAAACGTAGTAGTTTTGTCGTTTTTTGTTTTTTTTTCTGTTTCAAAGTGGTCCTCTAAATCTGGTTTTGGTGGGGGTACGTTTTATATAAAGATTGTTACATTTTGAAGCTAATGTTGATTTTTTGTTGGTTTGATGATTTATGATCTAAACTATTTTTGTACATCTTGTATTACAATCTGAACTAGAGGACGAGAATCTATACTGTTCCTATCGGCTTTAGGCATGAGGTTTCTAGTTGGGGGGGTCTGTTTATCTATAGTTATCATCTATGAGTCGATGGGGTGGACATATTTGGGCTTGCTTGCATTGCTGTACAGGTTTTTTTGTACTGTTTTTACATTCCCTATATGATGTGTAGGTCTAACAACAACGGTATTTTCACTATTACTTTTAATTATATTTGTCGAATAACAAATAAGTACCTTTATATTTAATGAAAATTGGGAGGTGGCACTAATGGATATAAAGTAAAAAGATTTTTAATTTTTATTTTTACATTTTTGTATATTATAGTTAATGATTTGTCTTGTTATCATTTGTTGCTCAAACACACTCATGTATATTTTTCCTCAGCCTTTTATTCCACATTTTATTTGTGTATATTTGGTAGTAATTTAATTTAAATAAAAAAATTAATATCATATAGAAATAATTTAAAAAAAAAAAAAAAAAAAATAAAAAATTAATTTAAAATAATAATAATATAAAAATAAAAAAAAAAAAAAAAATATTAAAAAAAAAAAAATAAAATTAAAATTATTAAAAAAATAAAAAAAAAAAAAATAAAATAATAAATAAAAAAAATAAAAAAAAAAAAAAAAAATAAATAAAAAAAATAAAATATAAAAATAAAAAACAAATTAAAAATACAATAATACAATAAATAAAAAAATAAAATAAAGACAATAATAAAAAATAAAATTTAAAAAAAAAATAAAAAAAAAAAAAAAAATAATAAAAAAAATAAACAAAAACAAATATAATCAAAATAAAAAATATAAAATATAATAAAAATAAAAATAAAATTAAAAAAAAAAAAAAATAAACAAAAAATAAAAATAACAAAACACAGGCATTTCAAGTCAGCAAACAACCGACTGGGTCAAAGAAAGAAAACTAATATAGAAATTTCGCAAAAAAGCAAAAAAAAGGAAAAAAATTAAAACATACACTTCAAGAGATGTTAATGGGGTTGTATAAATGACTTACGACTGGGGGATGGAACTTCTAATCAGGGTCAGAAGAGACGTTTCTGTTTCGTGTATTTTTGACAATATAAGGATTCAACATCCTCTATCATGAGTGAAAAAAGTGTCTCTGCTCATTCTTAAGCACAAATTCGGTCGTAAAAATTTATATTTGTACTGTCCGTGTTTTCTGTCGTGCTAATGTGTGTTGCGTGCTTTTTTGTTGTGTGTACTGCTGATGTGGTTTAATTAACTCACTCAGATCTTTTTTCTAATATCAAATTCGCCTAATCCAGCGAGTGTTACAGTCGTTTTTGTTTACAAGCGATTGTCAATCTGACCAAATGAAAATATCCTATATATGTCATTTTATGGTGGGGTCCGGTCATTTTAGTGTGTATGCAGTGTTTTTTTTATAATTCAAATTTATATATTTGTAGGCTGTTTGATAGAGTAAGTATTAGCGCTTATTTATTGCTTATTCATATTTTAGTTATTGGAGGATAGGTGGATGTTGTTATATCCTACATCATACTGACTGAGTCCTGTGCGTTTCCCGGTCAGGTTTCTGGCCCTTCGGAGGTTTTGCATGTTCTTATCAAAGCTGAGACCAGTGTCGGCATGCAATTATTACTGGCGGTGTTTGGTTTACCAGGCAGATGTTTCTTAGAATCCTATCTACATGTATTTAATTTGCAGATTATGGTTGGGTATTTTCTGTGTTTATTCACCTTCGGGTATATGTTGTATACATTCAATTTTGGGTATTAGTTTTGTTAGGCAATTAGTGCTAGTCTCACACTATTTTTGTCGTGTGTTGGCATGTATGTAATTCAGACAATTTACATGGGCTATTGAGTATATTTTAATTAATTATCATGTTGTTTTTTTTGGATATATTTTGTAGATCTGATTTCTTCCTTTGTTATGGAACACTTCATTTTGGTGTGTGTGATGTCCGCTGGATACACTTCGCATGCATTCTAGGATACATCAACGTCTTTTCCTACTGTTTGGACAATGTAATTATATAGTGTCTGTCGGTTCAGAGGTTAACATTTGGTTTTTTTTTTCTTGTTGCTATACTTATTTTGTTGTTTTATAGTATTATAGGTTTATTAACATGACTGTTACATATGATATGGCTGTAGATATAAGATTTAATTTGGTAATTTGTTTTGGCATTTGTAAAAACAACAACAACAACATTAGATATCATATTCGCAAGCGGAGTACCTACTGCGACGGGAGAGGGTATCCTAGTTACTTTGAGAGAGTTTAGTGGGTACTGTGGGGTGGTGGGTTACCAGAGTCCCGGTGTTCCTTAGCAGATCTCGTGAGGATCATGCTTTCGACTATAAGATTGTACATGTCAGACAGGTTTAGTTAAGCCAGGTAAGTCTGGACGGTGTGGCGATGTGGGGTATAAAATCAAGCCACAGGGATGATGTGTAGGTAGTGGTACGATGTAGTTTGTGTTGTCTGTGAGAGGTTGATGAGTTTTATTGTGAGTGTAATATTGGTGATTATTTTATGAGGCTTGATTTATGATTGATACGATTTTGTATTTTTTGTGATTAATTGATGGAACATCGGTGTATTATTAGTATTTTTGTCATTCTAGGGGTACAAGGATGGGATATGAAATGGTAGGTTGGAGTGATAGTCGGGGGAGGTTCACCGGTGTTTTACAGCATAGACGTATGGGGAGGTGTTAAAGGGTATAAGATATACAATGAAGAGAGGGGACAATGGATTCAGATCAGCATGATGGCATAGGTTATGAATTAAAGATAATGATATATGAAAAAATAAACATTACAACGTAAAAGAAATAGTATTGAAGAAAGAAGACAAGAAGAAAGGTATTGTAGTGCAAATTAATGTTGGGTTTTAGGTTTATTTTGGGTAAAAGTTTAGGAGTATAGAGTAATATAGGAAAAAAGTATATATTTAAGGAATTGGATGGTATAATGAGAGTAGGTTTTTTATTGACTGGGGTGTATGAATTGTATATTGTTGAAGCAGAGTGTATAGAAGAGGATGGGTTGGGGTATTTTATGATATGGGGTGGTAGTTTAGTGTTGGAGGTATGGAGGGTTGAGTTATGTGGTAGGGTGGTCTGGTTGTTTGGTGGGTTGATGGTAGGGGTTTTTTTTTTTGTTTTTCTTTTTTTTATTGCGGGTAGGGGTGTGTTGGTTTTTTGTATTTTTTTGGGGGGGGGTTAGGTTATGGTGTGTTGGGGGTTGAGGTTGTATTGGGTTGGTTTTGGTGGGTTTATAGGATTTAGAAGGAGGAGGGGGGGAATGGGGTTGGGTATTGGAGATGGTGTTGTCATTTATGATGGGGGGTGGGGGGGGGTTTGAGAAGATTGACGGGGGGATTGCTTTATGTGTTGGTTTAATAGAGGGAACTGAGGGTGAATGGTTAAGCGGTTTGGATACGTAATCTGGATTGGAGATTGCACTTTTTAATGAGGCTTATTGTTGTGTTTTATTTGGAGGGAAGGGTGTTATTGTGGTGTATAGGAGGTTGACATGAGAAAGGGGTATTATGGGATGAAGAGGGAGGGAGAGATAACATTCGGGTTGGTTTTTAGATATGATGGTCACTGTTGCTATTTGTTAAGAAGTTTTAGAGTAGTTACTTCGAGTTCACTACTGGGAGTTTTTTTTTGACAGTTTGTAAGAAGGGAGATTGATTTTTGGGTAGAGGTTTGTGATGAGTATTTGTTTGGGTATGTGTGGTGGACCTTTATTTTCTATTTTTACATTTGGTGTGTCATTCTAACTGTTTGTAAGGGGGTTTTGATGTTGTTTCTTTATGTGATGGGTAGGATATTTGTTGGGATGATGGATTAGGATTTGATGGATGGGGATATGTACTGTTCTAATCTTGGGTTTATCGGTATAGGGTACTATGGCTGGGATAGTGGGGGCAAGAGGACTAATGTGAGTGGGGGTTTGTTGATGCAAGGTGTGGGTAATTGAATATCATGTAGGTTTGGGGAGATAGAGTAAATTTGGATAGTTTGAAGGGGTATCAGACAATAGATTTTCATTGTACCATTAGTGTAAATGGTTGGGGTGGTGTTTTGTTACGTATTAAATCTCACATACTCAGTCTCAATTATATTTTTTTTTTATTATGTTTCTCTTTTCTCCAACGATACGTTTTTTAATGTGACACATTATTCCAGAAGATTGGTTGTCAATAATGCTGTTTTTCTCTAAAGGGCAATAAAACAAGGCATGTAATCTCAAATATTTGTTCAAAGATGTCATCATCCAAGGAAAGATTTATAACCCTTTGTTTGTGCCCATTTGACGTCTCCATACCTGCTTTTTGCAGCAGAGATTGAGGGACGTGATGTTGTTGGTTTTCGTTTGCTCGTGAGTTTGATTTCATTAGTTGGGATAACGGATGTAGAGTCAATCAGGTATTTTGATACTTGGTTGAGATGATTTGGTACGGTTTGTTTTGTGAGCTGGGGGGTTTATAAGTTTGAATATTCGTGGAGGCTTTGTCAGGTGAGTATCGCTCAGATTGTAGTTCGTTAATGGATTTTTTGTGTGTTCAGATTTTTGGTTGGAGGTGTTAGCGGTTATGGTATTGGTTAACTTTGAATGGTTGTAAGTTATGGGGTGGGAATTTATATGTTAAGGGCAAGATTTTTGGTAATGTTGTGTTCATAATTTGTTTGTTGAAAGTTTGTTTTTTGTTGATAGATCTCTTTTATGAATGACTATTGATGATGTTGATGGTTAATGGTGTCTTGTGGTGTGGTGTTTGGGAGTGGTGTACGCATGGTTTTATGTCTGTTATCGTTAACTGAATGCATTACTGTGGGCTAAGGGACAGGTGGTTGGTATTGACATTTGAATTTGAGTAGGTTGGAGTTGGGTGAGTGAAATTAGGCATGTACTATTCTCTTCTCAAATATGTTGTAGGCGGGAGTTGCATGTCAAGGGGGCATAGTCTCTTAGCACTTATCTTGCCTGTAGCAAACAAAGGTTGTTTCTGGCTACTGCGTCTAACAACTGGATGGTGGATCATGAGGGGACTGGGATCTTCTCACTGTCTATTTGTTTCACATTAGTTCTAGTCAGTCTGGATTTTAAATCCTGATCTTAAGCACGGGGGGGGAGGTTGTAGATTTTTTTAGTTATCATTGAGGTTTTTTTTTGCGTGTGTTTATGTTTAATCTTGTTTGAGATAGTCTGCTTTACAAATTATCGGTCGGTGGTTTTAATGTATTTTCAAACCTTTTTGCTAGGTTCTTGTGATATTTACTTGGGTATCCGCCCCTTCTGTCTAGAACCGTCCTCTCTCTTGACTGTACATTATACGTATTTGATAAAATATTTCTTAACTCGCCGGTAAATATTATTTTTCACCAGTATTGGGTGGGGTTTGTTATAGTGATGTTTGTTATTGACTTTCATGTACTTAATCATATTATTATGCACTCAGGCATTTTTATCATTTTTGTCTTTGTTTGTACTAGGGTGATTGTTTTTTAAATTTTTTTTTGTGAGTCAGTTTATTTGGTATTAGGCATAGTTTTCACAATTTTATTTGGTGGGTTTTAAATTGGGATGTTTTATGGTGTTTGTGAATTTTCTGTGTGTGGTGAACGGTATAGATGGATATGTATGTACTATTTTATTGTTATTTTTTTTATTGTTTTTGTGGGGAGTTGTTGGGTGGATTGATTTGGCACTGTTAGAAGTCTCCTGGTGTGTTTGTTAAAACAAGATTAGAGTAGTATTGAAAAGTTTTGGTATTTTCATGTGGGTTGTGGATATGGGGGAGTGGATTATATTGTATGGAATAGCTGAAGGAAAATATTATAAATGCAGATATGGTTGTTATAAAAAGGACGGTAGTTTTATTTTTAACATAGGAAGCCCGCAGAGGATATTAACGTTACTTACAATGAAATTTGGTTTAGGAGGGGGGGGGCGGGTTTTTTTTTGTTTGTTTATTTTTATTATGGAATTTACTGTGATATAAAAAGGTGAATTGAGATGTTGGGTTTAAAAGTGTTATGTATGTGTAAGGGGGTAGAAGAATGAAAGTTTGAGGTTGTTGGAAGTAGCATGTGGGGGTAGGGTGGAGGGGGATAGGGGGGTGGCATTGAGAGTATGATTTGATAAGATGTGTTATAGATTTTGATTTGATACGGGATGGTTGTGAATTGGGGTGATGATGGGATATGGTTTATTGGATTTGGGTATGACAGTTTTTGATGTAGTGTAGTTTTAGAAGGGGGGGTGTGGGGGAGTGGAAGGAAGGAATGTTGTAGGAGAGGTAGAGATTTGAGGTTATATGATATTGGTTAGATGAGGTGTAGGGGGGGGGAAATTGAGTGGGTGGGGGTGGAATTGGATTTTTAATGGGTATGATGTGTTTTTTTTTTTTGGTTTGGTATTGGAGTGTGAATGAGGGGATTGATAGTGATGGGTGGGGTTGGTTGTTAGTGTCGATTTGATTTATGTGTTGTTGAATGTGTGGGCAAGGGGGGGCGTGGATAAAAGTTTTATCATTTGGGAATTGGGTGGGTGTTTTGTGTGGGGGGGGGGGTGGGGTTTAAAAAGTTTTGGTTGATTGGGTGGTGGTGGGGTTGGGTTTGGATGGGGGTTGGGGCTTTAGGGTGTGGGGGGGGGTTGTAGTGGGGGGGTTATTTGGGGGGGGTTGTGGGGGGTAGGGTATTGGGATAGGGTTTGAAATTTTTAATTGTGGAGAGCGGGGTTATTAAGTATTGGAAATGGGGAGATTGGGTTGAAGGGAATTTCGGGGGGGGGGGGGGGGTGGGATGGGATAGGATGGGGTGATGGGGGTGGGGGAGGGGGGAGGAGTAGGTAGGGTTGGTGGGAGTGTGGTAGTAAGAGGGGTGGTTTTTGTGGGGTGATGTAGGGATTGGGGGGGAGGGGGGGAGGGGGTGTGTTGATGGTTTATTGATTTTTGGGGGGGGGGGGGGTGGTGGTTAGGGTGTTTTGGTTTTGGGTTGAGGGTTGAATATGAATGGTTTGTGTAGGATGAAAGGAGTGATGGAAGGGAGGGGGGAGGTGGGAATGGATTGATTGGGTTTTTGTGGGTGGGGGGGGGGTTGAATAGATTGATGGGGGGTGTTGATATTATGGGTTTTTTAGGTGATTTTTTTATTATGTGTAGGATTTATAATCATGTAATTAGGATTGTAGAGTGGGTTGAATTGGTATAGGAGAGTGATGTGGTTTGGTTAGGGGGGTTTCTTTTATTGGTAAATGTTATTTGTAAGAGGGAGGTGGGAAGTACTTGGTGTTGTTTTATTGTTGGGTAGAAAGGAGTAGGCTTAGTGGTTGGTTGTTTGGGGTGTGGTGTGTTGGATAAGTTAATTTGAGCTTATCTTTGTCATGATGGTACTGTGGGGTGAATTGCTTGAATATATATAGTTGGTCATGTTGATGAAAGTTATAAATGTTAAAATTACACGACTTCTAATTCATTGATCGCATATATTTGGTATGCATGTCAAGTGTTTTTAAATTAGATTCATTTGAGTGATATTATGGGTCTTTCTTTTCTTTTTTAAAAACGGTAGATGAATGCTAGTATCATAAATGGGTTGGATTGGATGGATCAGTTTTGGGGTGGGGTGGTGGGTGTAATTGGAGGGGGGTTTTTATTGGGGGAGTAGGATTAAGGATAGAGGAAGAGGAGGGTTCTTGAAGGACCGAGGGGGGGGTTTGTTGGGGTATTTGGATGTGTATGTGGGTTGAGGGTAGTTGTGGTTGTTTGACGAGGGATAGAATGGTATGTTATGTTGGGGGATAGTGTATCTGTGGTTGCATAACACAGTTATGATGCTATTATTTGTAGTGTAATGTATTGTGATTCTTATGTTTAGATAGGTTTGGGGTTGGTTTTTTTAAGGTTGATATGTTGATGTTGGGTGATGTGGTGTTTTATAGGGGAGGGGATGTTATGGGATGGGGATGTCGATATGTTGGGGTGTGGATTGGAATGTATGACCACATACACTGGTTTACTGTTGGGCTTTTGTTTTTTTGATATATTGGTGGTATAGGGTAGTTTTGGGATGTGTCAGATGAAGAATGTAATGGTGATAGTGTGGAATATTTTGAGAGATGTGGGGGGGGGATGATGGTTGTTTGGGGGTTTGTTGATAAGGATGTTGATTATGGGGGATTGGATGGGGGAGGTATATGGGGGTAAAGTAATCTATTACTGGTAGTTTGATATGGATATTAGATGGAGGGTGGGTTGTGGGAATTGGTTTATTGTATAATGGGGAGGGGGTGTATTGTGTGTGGGGGGGGGGGGGACGCGTATGGAAGAAGTGATATGTGGGTTGGGGGTTGTATGTTGGGGGGGTAGTGTGATAGTGGGTATTGTGTTCCTTTAATGATGTCTGGGGAGGGTTAGTTAGTGGAGGGTATGATTTTAGGGGGTTTATGTGTAGGTGTGTGGTTATATCGTATAGAAGTGAGAACGATGGGAGTATAGTGAACTTTGTCTGGGGGAGGATTGTGGTTGAGGGTAGGTGTGGGTGAGAATTATGGTATTGGTGAATTTTATGTTTGAATTTGAGTATTGGGTTGGGGGGATTTTGTTAGGTGAATGGGGGTGTTGGGAATTGGATTTGGAATGTAAGTTTTGAATTGAGTGTTGAGGGGTTTGTGAGGTTGTAGGGAGGGGATATTTAGAGAGAATGAATTAAGATAGGTGAGAGTGAGGGGGGATTGGTTTTGGGGATTGTTGGAATGGAGAGAGTGGGGGATTTTAGGTGTTGTATGTAAAATTGAGTAGGATGAGGGTTGGGATGATTTTGGGGGAGAGTATTTGGTGGTGAGATTGGGGGAAGTTGTTGTGGGGATAGAAAATAGGGGATGGGGGGTGGGGGGTTTTTTGGGGTTTGGTGAATTGTTTGGGAGGGGAATAGGATAGTGGGGGGAAAAGGGTAGGGGGGGGGTGGTATTTTTTTGTTTGGGGGTGTGGGGTGTGGGGTTGGGTTTGGGGGAGTTTGGGGGTTTGGGGGAGGGAGGTTGGGTAGGATTTGGGGGGATGGGATGGTGGGGGGTGGTGTGGGGGTGGGTGTTTGGTGGTGGGGGGGGTGTGGGGGGGTTGGTGGGGTTAGGGGGTGGGTGGATGGTTTTGTGGGGGTTTGGTAGTGGGGGGTGGTTGGAGTGGGGTTGGGGGTGTATGATGGGGTTGGTTGGGTGATGGGGGGTTGAGGGGGGTGGGGGATGGTTGGGTGTAGGTTGGTGTTTGGGTTATAGGTGGTGTATTAGGTGGGAGGGGTGTTGTGGATGGGGTTGAGGATTGGGTTGGGATGGGTTTGTGGGTTTAGATGTTTTTTTTTAGTTTGGGGTTTAAGTGATTGTGGGTGGTTTGTGAGGGTATAGGGTGGGGAGGTATTTGGGGGTGGGGTAGTTTTGGTTGTTGTTTGGGTAGGGGGGTGTGGGGGTGTGTTGGGAGAGGGGTGGGAGTGATGATAGGGTTTGGTAGAGGTTTAAGGTGGGGGGTGGTGTTGGTGGGGTGTGATTTTGGGTGGGTATTGGTATTGGGAGTTTTGTGTGAAGGATTTTTTGTTTAAGTTTGGTGTTTTTGTTAGGGGGTGGATGGTTGTTTTGAGGCGTAGGAGAGTTAGGATGTGTTGGGGTTTTAGGAATGGTGAAGTGTGGGGAGTACTGTAAATGACAGGGTCGAGTTTGGTGTTTTTGTTACAGATCAGATAGTTTGAGTCTTGTTTTACTTTAGATGACACGACGATATGTGATTAATGGAAGTACCTGGGTTGTGTGTATTGGTTGTTTGTTATATGGTATTTACTTGAAGATGGGGTATGGAAGTTGCATTTTATTGTTGGGGACATAATGATGTTTTATTTGTTCACGTGTTTGGTTGACTTTAAAGTGTTTTATAGTTTGTGTGTTTTTAATATGGATGTTTAAGTTTAGTCGTTTGTTGATTTTCAAGTATTTTTGGTTAATATTGAATCTTAATGTTTATTGTCGGGTGGTTGGATGAGTTATTGTGAAGTTTGTAGTGAGTCAGTGTAGAACTCCGATCAAGCAGTAACTATATATGTGAGTGATAGCAGATTGAAGATTCATCCTCGAGCGTTTCAACTTTGACTTGTTGAATTTTGGCATTTGTTATGCCTCTGGCTACTTCTGACGCGTGAAGATCTTAGCGTTGATACTTGTTTAATAGGTTCCTGACGGTGTTAGGGTCAAGACTGCATCGGTCTATCATGTGATAGATCTTTGTCTGGTTCATTTTTTATTTTGTGTTGCATATAAGTGGACTTTTGGTACATGGGCAGCTTGTTTGTTGAAATATCTTTCAAATTGGTGCTTATGTCAGTATGATAAGTATGGATTCTATGTATAGATTTTTAAACATTGGAACACTGTGTCTGAGGGGCGGGTAGTTGTTCATGTGCAATTTCAATTAGTTTCGCTTCCTTTTAGTTAGCTTTGTATTATTTGTGTGTAGGTTGTTGGTATTTGGTCAACATATTTCAATCATTATTTTGTTGTTTAAGTTGTTTGGGTGGGGGGTATTGTCATTTAGAATGTTAATTTGTTTGTGATGAAGTTTGAGGGTATATTTGATAATCCAATTATTTAAAAAAGATTCATTGTCTTAGTTTTATGTCCTTATTTTAGTACATGTATATATTAGTGTTAACTCCTTTTTGGTTTTTGTTGGAGTGGGTTTTGGTTGGGTTTGTTTTCATTACTCTTTTTACCTGGAATTTTATTTTCTTGGATTTGTTTTTGTGTTGGCATTTGGTCGTATTGGTGAGTGTTGTTAAATGATATGTATTCTGGTGATATGCCATCTTTATATGCATTAGGGATCTTTAATCAAGTGCGTTGATTGTGTTTGATGATAAGGAGGGTCTGTGTTTATTTTTTCCATTTGTTACGGAGAGTTTTGAGTACTGGTTGATAATTGTTGACACGACGGTTAGGTTTGTTAGTTGTACTTTGCTTGGTTACAGTCCTCTGTTTTTGGGTGTATCTTTCGTGTACTCAAGTGTTTTATGGTGGGAAAAACGGCACCTGTGAAAACCTTGCGCCATCTTTTATCTTCTTCCTCTAAGGAAGGTCCTGTACTGGATGGTGGGATTGAACCCACTTCCTCATCTGAGAAGCAATTAGAGGCAAGAAATCAATTCTAGTATCAATTACATTTAAAAACTGCTAATGTTTTCCGAGGCGCTGCACAGACAGGTTAAAAACAGTAACAATAAAATACACTCAAAGACACTTCACATGTCTCTGTGTGTGTGGGTGTGTCGTAACTACTGTAGCCACAGCTGCCCTGGGGCACACTGACAGGAGCGAGGCAACCAGTCTGTGCCATCGGCCCCTCCCACCACCACCAACCATTCACACACACACCAGACTCATTCTAATGTGTGGGAAGTGTCTTGCCCAAGGACACAACCACAGTCCTGACCTTACAGCCACAGCCGCCCCACTGTGGCACAACTCAACTCCAACGACAGGATTCCAATCTGTGTGTCCATCATTCATCATAAATCATTACACACGTTTAAAACTCTCTGGTCTTATTGGACGAGCACGTATCACCAGAATGATTGACAGTTGGGAGGACCAATAGACTTTATGATCCACCCAGAAGCAGGAAATCCTTCTACATATTTTTAAGTTCAATCAGATTAAATGCTTTACCACAAACCTGAAATGATATGTACCTGTGAAAATACATAGTAAAACTGCTCAAATAAACTACTACTACTACCACCACTACTACTACTGCTACCACTCCTACTACTCCTACTACGACTATTCCTACTACTCCTACTACTCCTACTACTACTACTACTACTACTACTACTCCTACTACTACTCCTACTACTCCTACTCCTACTACTCCTACTACTCCTACTACTACTCCTACTACTACTACTACTACTACTACTACTACTACTCCTACTACTACTACTACCACTACTACTACTACTCCTACTACTACTACTACCACTACTACTACTACTCCTACTACTACTCCTTTCCATGTATCACAGTACATTAGGCTCAGACAAACAGTGCTTACAGTGATGCAGTCTATTAGTCACTGAGGTGTCATGTGACGGCTGTACCGCTCTGTCATTGGTCGGTTTGTGACTAAACACACACAGACCTCATGTTTCCCAAAAACCCAACGAGTATTTCACATCCTGCTCTCCGATGGATCCATGACCTCAGCAGTGACGCATCTGAAATCACAGCGAAGGCGGCGGGCGGCTATAACTTGTATCTTTTGCTTGTTCTGCCCATGTTTTACTGGCCTCCTCCTCCTCAGAAATGAAAACACAGCTCAAAGACTGCACTCCCACACTCTACTCTGCTGGTTCTCGGCGGCAGTAACGCGATATGTTGTTCTTAGCCTTTTGAGAAGAGGTGTAGTAATTGTATTGGCGTTTGGGTCCAGATGAGGAGAGAGGGATGACATCATACAGTGACTTTGGAGGCTTTACTGTAAGAAGGAGGAGCTCTCTAGCACCACACGCTGGCTGGGAAAGCACACTGCAATTATGAGCTCATTTTATCTGGTAACAAGTCCATGCCATGGTTTCTCTCGATCCATACACCGTGAACGTGGAACTGTAAATCATCACAGCATTTATGGGCATTTAAACAACATTTACGTGTGTTTGGTGAATTCAACGGTTTTATTAAGTCGTCCGTCCGAGTTAACCACTGTTGTGATTTAGGGCTATCCAAGAATACATTGAGGTGAATCAAACAGCCGAGTTTAGGCGTTTTGTTCAAATATATTTACATTCACAGCACTGCTATAAATGTAAATGTCTGTTTCTACATTTGTCAGATGGTTTCTAGTCATAATTGTCCAAGTTACTATGAGCTGGAGTATACTGTGAGCCAAGTGTGTTAAATTAGTAGGCTCTTCTAATCTATACGGACAATTGTAGGGACGTTATTAATATTATTTATGTTTTGATGGTATATTTTTCGTCTTCCTCATCTGTTGTTCTTCCCCTGTTGTCATCAGAAATGTCTTTTTAACCTCTTTTTGCACGATATGACTTGACTGTACGAGTGGTTTCTAGTTATAATTTAGTCCATGGCAAAATGTAAAGGCTCAGTGACATCGGGAACCTTCATATTCATTGCAATGTTTTATGTTTTGGCTCTTTGGGCTGAGAGCTGAGTCAGGGTCGTCCCGTATTTTTCATTTTTCAGTCTGAAAAATTTGGAAAGCAAACTGATTAGAGCCAAGAACAAGTACAATTGATTAATATTTTTCCTGTGGTGTGTCCGATACAGTGTAGTTAGTGCACTTGTATATTGTACTGTATATTCTTCTTTTTTCATTTTTAACATAAGATTTGTATTTTAAAGATTTACCAGTATACGTGCCACAGTCGAGAAATGTTGAGCTTTTATTCATGGCTTATTCTATTTTTGCTTAACTTTTACCTTTTGACCAGGACTCGAACGAGGTTGTTAATCTCAATGGGACTTTCCTGGTTAAATAAATGTTAAAAAAACACACACACAAAATTAACCTCTTAACAAAGCAATCGCACACACTCTATTCCGTGTGCGACTTCCTGTTACTCACAATGACAATAAAAATAATTCTGATTTAACATTTAACACACACTTACTCCAGTGTCTCTCATAAACAGTCAGACTCCCATCAGCCCGTACAGAACAGCCTGGGTTCTACTGTGTTGTACTGGTGCTGATCGGTGCAGAAGCCTGGTCTCTCGCAGGAGGGCCGCCAGCCGCTGTTCAAAGCAGACCGTTCTGAGCCAGTCAAAGCAGACCGCTCTGTGCCAGATTACCCCCACTCCACGGATCACACGCCTTTGAGAGAGTCGCCGCTCAGGGCTCAGCGGGGGGGCGGCCTTCCAATCGGCACAGACCCTCGTGGAGCCCACAGACCTTCAGTATTTCTATAAGGTTCTTCTTTAGACTGATGTTAAAGCTGGGGTCCCATAACTTAACCCACAAATAGAATAACATATAAAGAAATAAAAAAATCTATCTATCTAGCATGTGTTTTTAGGCCTCTGCCACATCTTGAGATCAGTTTTTTCAGACAGAAAAGTAAAAATAAATCAGTACTGTCATTTAGCCAATCAGCTTCCAGCCCAAAGCGTCAAATAGTGACTCACGGGGCTCTTTCTTACACTTTACCTTGACAAGGCTCTTTCTGTTGGGATAAACAGGTTAGGTACCCGGGCTTTAAAAGGCTTCAGTTGCCGGGTTCTGGATGACATGACAACATTCTGAAGCCAGTGGTTGTTGATGCAGACGGGTCCAGCCACTGTCGACACGGTAAGGTTAAAACAACTGCATTTTAGTGTAATAAAAGCACAAAGACATTTCCAAGGAGCTAAGTATGACATTGAGAGAAAATAATTTATCCTCCATTCAGTGAAGGTGTTTGAATCGCTCTTTAGTATTCACCACAGAAAACTGGTTTCTGCAAAAATGTGTTTAATCGTTCATTTTAAACATGCGCAGTACATTTTACATTCAAATCAGCAAATGTGTGGTGAAATGATGGAAGACTCAAATGCAAAAACATAATGATTTAATAAAATAAAGTCAAAATCCAAAATACAGAACGATGTAGACAACACAATGGACCAGCAACAAGAGGAGAGGAGCACAGGGTATAGACACAGACACAGGGGAAACACATCAGGGCGGGGCAGACCATCAAGACAGGGGCAAACAGGGCGGGGCAGACCATCAAGACAGGGGCAAACAGGACGTCAAAGTCAAACTAAAACCAAACCACAGAGAACAGACTCACACCATGACAAAATAATCTGATAGTTCTACTCTGTTCAAATCCAGGCTTAAAACTATTCTGTTTAGCTTCATGCTTTTTAATGTGCTATGATTATTTAAGATTTGAATGCCTCGTGTCGATCTTTTCTTTCTGTCTGTATGAACTGTGCTATACAAATAAGTCTGCCTTATAGTTATGATACAGATCAAATGTATTGATAACTAAATCCAAGAAGTCCAATGTTCAAAGTATTCCTGTAGTTCTGCTGCTATTGTCCCAGTCCATAGTTGCATGTGGTGCTGTGTACGATAAACAAAAGGTTCAGGTTGGTCCAAATATTAAGAGTTATAGTAGAGAAATGTCCTTTTGAAATGTCCCTTTTAGATTCAACTGTTCTGTTATCTGTAGAAACCAAATATAGTAAAAACGTCAAGATACTTGATCCAAACTGAAACTGCAAATGTTGGACCAGGCATTACATGTGGGAATTAGAATATTGTTCAAACACATATTCATTCCTATAATTCAACCTAAAATATGAAACCGATATATACTAAATATATACATATATATACATATAATAGATACTAGGTTCATTGCAAGTGACTGCATTTGATTGTTTTAATGTTTATGATCATGGGCCATGGCATAAAGTCAATTTGAGATATTTTATTGTGGAGATTTTCCAAAAAAAACTTTAAAAAAAAACAAAAACCAGATATATCTCACTTGTATTAAGTCACACTCTGAGAAAAAAAAATATCTAAAATCTCAGTGGGACTTCTGTGGTTAAATACACGTTATTTGCTCTGGCTTTGAACTGAAACTGAAACTGATAGCAGACCAGTATTTTATTTTAACGCAGTATTTAATTTCTGTGCATCTGTTGTTGTAAAGTCTGGAAAGCACTGTGTTTCAGTCATGTCTGTTTTTAGAATGTGCTATATAGAAAAACTTGACCTTGAATACATACAGATATAAAAGAATCCCATTGTAAGGTGAACTACAGAAGTAAATGGACTGAGTTTCACCTGTAAATGTCACTTTCTCCACGCGTGGTCACAGGCGCTGCGATACATACACAGCCCACTAGCGCCCCCCTGTGTTCAAAGCCGGTCACTGCAGTGGAATGACCAAACAGATGCACCACTGACTGAATGAAATCTATTCTAATCATCTCAGTCTGACCACATGACAGCACAAGACCCCGCTGCTCCATCTTGTGATCACAAACAGACCACTTTATGACGTCCTTTCACTTTTCCGTAAACACAAACACGAGCAGAGATCCAAACGCATTTATTTGTTAGAAAGTACAAAACAGAATATAGTGCAAACGGTTATTTTCCAACTTGTTAAAAAAAAAAGGAAAAATATCAAAACATAATTTAATCTCAAAGAACGTTTTTTGAAGTGCACTTTTTGCCAGGTTATATTTTTAAGACCTTGCAGAACTTTTGCCCATATTATTGATGTATTTTTGATGAGAAACTTGTATAATTTTGTGTAGTAGTAATAAACTTTTAATAGAAAATAACATTTGGTATTACATTGTACTGCTTAAATAATTAAAGTCAAATCTGTATCAAAACACATTCATTTAATTTATCTTAAACCTATTTCATCTGCATTAGTTTAAGCAGTTACCGATGTATTAGACATTTAAATTAGAACAGATTCTAAAGTCTTTGCTTTCCATAAACACACGTCGATCTTATTAGTCCTTGAAGTCATTAAAGTGAACACATTATTATAATACTTCATTTGGTACATGGCGTCTACATTTCTAGGTTAAATCTTCGTTCGAGGTATAATTCAGAGTGCTGCTTAAAAATATTTGAAAAAAATAACACTTCAGTGTGATGCCTACAATATAAAAGTATAAAAGTGCCTTCATTGCTTCTTGAAGGTTCTCTTGGCGTCCACTCCGTCGTAGTGGTAGGTCTGAAACAGAAAGCTCAGGTTTAGAGTTTTTAGATATTGTGTTATACAGAAGTAATTAACAACTTTAAACAATATTCTTTGGGTAATTTGTTTTCTCAAAAGACTTCTATGAGGGTAGAGATTCTATATAATCTCTACCTTCTTGCTGTCTCAGAGCATAATTACTCAAAACCATTGTTCATAGTCCATGCAGCTGATAAAGGCATTTTTGCACACTTGAAAAATAAATAAATCCAAAAATAACTGGTTGCTGCTGTAGCTGCAACTATCTCTAAGTGAACATATGTGTCCTCCCCTTTATGCTGTGTGAGCTTCAAAAGATCCACATTAAAGATGAAAAATGACCAAGACAACAAATATATGGTGAGTATGAGGGGTTAGAAGATGCTTTCCACCTGTCACTCCCTTTGCCGCCACCAGAGGGAGTAGTGGTTCTGCTGTATCTATGGCCTGTATCTGACAGAAATGATTTTGAAGGTGTTATTATTGTAGGAGGTGGAGCGGGATCTGACGGAGCAAACCTCCATCCATCCATTTTCTACCCTTTAATCCATTTCTGGGTCAGGGGGGTGGCAGTCAGAGATGCCACCCAAGTCTCATAGCACCAGCACGGAGCAAACCTGTGTGTGTTAAATGTATAAATGTTAATTGTTTGTATTGTGTTGTATTATATGTATTGTGTTTGTTTTATGTTCATGGGACCCTCTCGAAAATGAGACGCTGCATCTCAAGGGGTTTTCCCGAATAAAAAAATTATAAAAATAAATCAAAAGTTCCTGATATTAGCATGGACGGATCTAAAAACAACTCCAGGACTGTGGTCGATGGGAGAATAATGTTGTAACATGATAATAATAGTTCTCCTTTAAGTAATGAATTATATGTTTTTCTCGTATGTCTGTTGTCTTTGGATGATATGGCAAGGCACCATTTCCTGTGGGATCAATTAAGTATTTATCTGTATCTATCTATCAAACAGAAAATATTTAAAAAAACATATATAGTCATAAAATTGAACCATTGTGGATCTGAAGGACCCCTCTCACTGGAAGCAGTTCCATGTTTCAATAATAAAGTCTATTCTCCGGATGAACAGGTGCGATTGGACTCTTGAATCCCTTTAGATCCGCACACTCGACTAAATCTGCACTTTTAAAACATAAATCAAGTTTGGTCTGAACATTTACAAACCTGCACCAGATCTCCGCCCACAATCATCCTGGTGGTGGTCAGCACTTTCCCGTTGTCTTTCCTGGAGAACTTCCCATTCAGTTTTTCTCCCTCCATCTCCCATGTTCCCTGCAAAACAACCACAATTATACGTATTACTTCTGTGTTGTAAAGTGCTGGTGAAGTGCCGGTTCCTTACGGAGACTTCGGTGCCGTCGGCCAGCGTGTAGTCGAACTGCACGCTCAAAGTAAACTCGATGTCTTTGGTGCGGAAGGTGCTGGACTCCTTGATGTGGAAGTTGTTGCCGTTTTGTTCGATGGTGATTTTCAGGTTGTCGTGCTCGGCTAGCTTCCGTTTCATCACGTTGATACCTTGGACACAGACGGATTGGCTTTGAGTCTCGTGAGGACTGACCCAGGACGCTCAACATTCAACAATATTCATGGACATTTGTAAACACTTCTGGACATTGGTTTGATTCTCTGATCTGTGTTGGCAAATTCAACGGTTTAGAAAAGTCCTCCCAGATAACTACTGTTGTAACTCAGGGCTGTACCAGAATACGCTGAATGGAATTGAAATAAAGTTTTAACAACAGTATATATCTCTTCATAGTTATTCTAATGTGGTCTTACTGTGAACGACAACGAAACAGAATCTGAATCTATTACACTGTGAGTTTTTAAGGGTTCAAAAGCTGCTCCACAATCATCTCTGCCAAGGGGTAATGTTTTAACCAGAGTCTTTTTGTCTGTCAGCAAACAACAGAACTGAAACATATATTGGCTGATTTTGAACAGGGAACAATTACTGTAGATTTTTTCAGATGATCCGGGTCACTGTCTATTCCCATCCATCCATTTTCTTCCCCTTTATCCATTTCTGGGTCGAGGGGGTGGCCAGAGATGCCACCCAGTCCACAGAGCACCAGCCCCTCACTGATCCTCCTGCAGGTGCTGAGTCCACAGGAGGACGGCCGCTCTATATGGCATAGCCTTGATCTTTCAGTGGGGGCTTCAGGCAAAGTGGGGTCAAGTGTCTTGCCCAAGGACACAACGACAGCAGACATTAGTGGGAGTCACTGTCTACCAACTGAGCCACTGTCGCCCAGACTGTGTACTCCCAAACGATACAATTTAGCAAAACATAAATGGTGTTTGGTCCATTATTTTATTGTTATTAAGAGTCAAAATGTCAAAACAAAATCTACATACATTTTATGATGTTTATATTAACATAAAAAATAGAAATTATATATTTTTAGGAGAACAAAAAGCGATATTATACCTGATTCAAAAATATCTATATATATCATAACATTATTTTTATTTTACAGTCATAATGTCATAAATACTTTTAGAATCTGTGCTAATCCATTACTTTTGCATGAAGTAGAATTCTTGGAAAGTGAGTTTGTTTACGGCCTGGTTTTTTCGGCTCACACCGTTAAGTTTTATGGCCTGGAAAAATATTACACTGATGAAAACAATGCAGAAATAAATGAGGTCAACAAAATGAAGGACGTTTGAAAGTCTCTTGCGTCGTCTTGTTCCTGGAATCCCCGCCTCTGTTGCCCCCCATGGAGATTTCATTACTACTGCCTCTGTGGCTCCAAAGTCAGGCAGTATTTCATCAAGAAGGTGGCACCACTAGACCAAGTTCCATGACATATCAAAGGAGAAGGAAGCTTTCAGCATTAAAAAAAATAAATAAAAATGAAATAATGCTGCACTGTAAAAAAAATGTCCTTGTAGAAAAACGGTAAAAATCTGGCAAATATTGTTCCAGGGTTTTACTGTTTTATTAACGGTTAAATACTGTATCACTGAATCACATTATGCCTTTGTGATTTCAGGATGTTCATTACACCATGGACAGATAACTGCTATATCTCTCTCTGCAAACTTATCACACCATTGAAGTCATAAAAGTTGAGCAAATTGTCAAAGGAAAAAAAAAAGTTGGCAATTCTATGACCTCCAGAAACTTCCCGACCCCAAAATAAATGATCCTTGAGTGCGTCGGGGCCTCACTTACCCATCTGCTCCATAAACTTGTCATAATTCTCGCTGTGGTCCACTTTCCAGGTCCCGTTGAACGCCATGACCGCAGGCTTGTTGGAGGGCAGTGATGAAGCAGCGGCGTCCAGTGGCCTCCCCTCTATTACCCCACCCCCTCACCCCCCCTCCCCCCCCCCCCCCCCCCCCCACGGCAGGCTTGGCACGGCGATGCTCCAGTCCTTTATCTCTCCTGATTATCTGTCTGCTGATGTGGCCGTTTAAAGAATGTCAAATGTAGGGCGATTCCTGCGTGACCTTGAGAGCCGATAAAATAATACGATAGATCCACACCCCGCCCACAACAGTGAGAGTACTGAATAACACTGGAACACTGTTCAATGCCATGGACACAGAGAGAAAGAGAGTTAAAGGGGAGGTGGGGTGGGGTGGGGTGGGTGAACTTGGCATTCGTTCAAACTTCAGGGCCTTTCAGTCTTTTCTGTGTCGCCTGATTGTGCCCAGCATTGGAAATGAGCTGCAAAAAGGGCTTTCTCGCTGGCCCCGGCAATTTGGCACCGGTACAAAATAATGTAGTGACCCAAAAGAGAACACTCTACTTGTGCTAAACGCTTTGAAATGGAAACTTATACTGGAAACGGGAAACTTTTTATATATATGGTGCCTTACTTTCTACATCGCGGGTCCTTTGAAAGAAATGCATGTATCTGTTAAAACGTGGAGAGGTTAGGGTTAGGGCCTATATTTGTAATTGCAGCACATTCTTGCAGAGAGGAAGCGGACCAGAGCAATGACAAAGGCTTTGTCTTATAAAAGGAGCTCGTAGGTTCAGCAGAGACACATTTATTTGGTCCTAGATGTAAAAAACTAAGACAACCAGTATCTCAGAACAGGCACGGGAAGTTTATTTGTACAGCACGGTTCATACACAAAGAATCTCAAAACGCTGAACAAAACAAAACAGAAACAGTCACAAGGCATTAAATCATCAACAATCATTAAATCATCAACAATCATTAAATCATCAACAATCATAAAATCATCAACAATCATAAAATCATCAACAATCATTAAATCATCAACAATCATTAAAACATCAACAATCATTAAATCATCAACAATCATTAAATCATCAACAATCATTAAATCATCAACAATCATAAAATCATCAACAATCATAAAATCATCAACAATCATAAAATCATCAACAATCATTAAATCATCAACAATCATTAAAACATCAACAATCATTAAATCATCAACAATCATTAAATCATCAACAATCATTAAATCATCAACAATCATTAAATCATCAACAATCATTAAATCATAAATAATCACAGTACATTAGAAAGAGTGAGGATTACATCCTTCAGTTGTATCCAACGCTGAACTGTTTTTAACCTGGATTTGAACATTGTCAGAGAATAAGTTGATACAATCTGCAGTGTTTACAACATGTGATACTACTGTACATGTTAGCAGCATGTGATACTACTGTACATGTTAGCAACATGTGATACTACAGTACATGTTAGCATGTGATACTACTGTACATGTTAGCAGCATGTGATACTACTGTACATGTTAGCAACATGTGATACTACAGTACATGTTAGCATGTGATACTACTGTACATGTTAGCAACATGTGATACTACTGTACATGTTAGCAACATGTGATACTACAGTACATGTTAGCATGTGATACTACTGTACATGTTAGCAACATGTGATACTACTGTACATGTTAGCAACATGTGATACTACTGTACATGTTAGCAACATGTGATACTACTGTACATGTTAGCAACATGTGATACTACTGTACATGTTAGCATGTGATACTACTGTACATGTTAGCAACATGTGATACTACTGTACATGTTAGCAACATGTGATACTACAGTACATGTTAGCAACATGTGATACTACTGTACATGTTAGCAACATGTGATACTACTGTACATGTTAGCATGTGATACTACTGTACATGTTAGCAACATGTGATACTACTGTACATGTTAGCAACATGTGATACTACAGTACATGTTAGCATGTGATACTACTGTACATGTTAGCAACATGTGATACTACTGTACATGTTAGCAACATGTGATACTACAGTACATGTTAGCATGTGATACTACTGTACATGTTAGCAGCATGTGATACTACTGTACATGTTAGCAACATGTGATACTACAGTACATGTTAGCATGTGATACTACTGTACATGTTAGCAACATGTGATACTACTGTACATGTTAGCAACATGTGATACTACAGTACATGTTAGCATGTGATACTACTGTACATGTTAGCAACATGTGATACTACTGTACATGTTAGCAACATGTGATACTACTGTACATGTTAGCAACATGTGATACTACTGTACATGTTAGCAACATGTGATACTACTGTACATGTTAGCATGTGATACTACTGTACATGTTAGCAACATGTGATACTACTGTACATGTTAGCAACATGTGATACTACTGTACATGTTAGCAACATGTGATACTACTGTACATGTTAGCAACATGTGATACTACTGTACATGTTAGCAACATGTGATACTACTGTACATGTTAGCAACATGTGATACTACTGTACATGTTAGCATGTGATACTACTGTACATGTTAGCATGTGATACTACTGTACATGTTAGCAGCATGTGATACTACTGTACATGTTAGCAGCATGTGATACTACTGTACATGTTAGCAGCATGTGATACTACTGTACATGTTAACAACATGTGATACTACTGTACATGTTAGCAGCATGTGATACTACTGTACACGTTAGCAGCATGTGATACTACTGTACATGTTAGCAACATGTGATACTACTGTACATGTTAGCAGCATGTGATACTACTGTACATGTTAGCAGCATGTGATACTACTGTACATGTTAGCATGTGATACTACTGTACATGTTAGCAACATGTGATACTACTGTACATGTTAGCAACATGTGATACTACTGTACATGTTAGCAACATGTGATACTACTGTACATGTTAGCATGTGATACTACTGTACATGTTAGCAACATGTGATACTACTGTACATGTTAGCAGCATGTGATACTACTGTACATGTTAGCATGTGATACTACTGTACATGTTAGCAACATGTGATACTACTGTACATGTTAGCAACATGTGATACTACTGTACATGTTAGCATGTGATACTACTGTACATGTTAGCAACATGTGATACTACTGTACATGTTAGCAACATGTGATACTACTGTACATGTTAGCATGTGATACTACTGTACATGTTAGCAACATGTGATACTACTGTACATGTTAGCAACATGTGATACTACTGTACATGTTAGCAACATGTGATACTACTGTACATGTTAGCATGTGATACTACTGTACATGTTAGCAACATGTGATACTACTGTACATGTTAGCAGCATGTGATACTACTGTACATGTTAGCAACATGTGATACTACTGTACATGTTAGCAACATGTGATACTACTGTACATGTTAGCATGTGATACTACTGTACATGTTAGCAGCATGTGATACTACTGTACATGTTAGCAACATGTGATACTACTGTACATGTTAGCAACATGTGATACTACTGTACATGTTAGCAACATGTGATACTACTGTACATGTTAGCATGTGATACTACTGTACATGTTAGCAGCATGTGATACTACTGTACATGTTAGCATGTGATACTACTGTACATGTTAGCAGCATGTGATACTACTGTACATGTTAGCAACATGTGATACTACTGTACATGTTAGCAACATGTGATACTACTGTACATGTTAGCAACATGTGATACTACTGTACATGTTAGCATGTGATACTACTGTACATGTTAGCAGCATGTGATACTACTGTACATGTTAGCAACATGTGATACTACTGTACATGTTAGCATGTGATACTACTGTACATGTTAGCAGCATGTGATACTACTGTACATGTTAGCAGCATGTGATACTACTGTACATGTTAGCAACATGTGATACTACTGTACATGTTAGCAACATGTGATACTACTGTACATGTTAGCAGCATGTGATACTACTGTACATGTTAGCAACATGTGATACTACTGTACATGTTAGCAACATGTGATACTACTGTACATGTTAGCAGCATGTGATACTACTGTACATGTTAGCAGCATGTGATACTACTGTACATGTTAGCAGCATGTGATACTACTGTACATGTTAGCAGCATGTGATACTACTGTACATGTTAGCAACATGTGATACTACTGTACATGTTAGCAGCATGTGATACTACTGTACATGTTAGCAACATGTGATACTACTGTACATGTTAGCAACATGTGATACTACTGTACATGTTAGCAGCATGAGGCTCAGTGACTAGTCAAGTATTGCACATTCTGACATGATTGCACATTACTGATGTCATAAGAGTATTTAAAGTGTGTCATGTGTGCAGATGTCCTCATGAGACCTGACTCAGATTTACATTGGCTCCATTGCAACAGAACCTTTCTGGTTCTTTTTGTCCCGCTGCAACAAACCAGGAGCCAGTCGGCAAATATTTGTCTTTAGAAATAAATGAACTACAAAATGACCTAACGTCCCTTATATTCTGATCATGTTAAAAACCCAGGATGATCTGAGTGTGTGTGTAAATGCACGGTGAGTGTGCGTCTGCAGCGTCTGCAGAAGTGTGATTGTGGGATAGTTGTCATTCCGTGTGTGTCGTGGACAATGCTTCACTGTGGTCACATTCCTCAGACAGAGAAGCCGTGCTCTCTTTGGCAGAGGACAGAATACTGAAGCAGAGCTCAGTCCTGTATTAGCACACAAGGCACCGTGCAAAAGGCATATGGAGAGTCAGAACTGCCGAGAGAAACTTTTCAATAAGTTACAGAGCGGAATACAAATCATCCATCTGCTCCCAGCTCCTTATGGGGGATTTAAAGAAGGTGAATGTTTATTTATGAAGACAAAACACATTAGGGAGAACAACAAAGGATTACTATGAGAAAAGGTGGATTATACAAAAGTGGAACCTGCAGAAAACTACCGAAAGACTTC